AAAAAAAAAAAAAAAAAAAAGAGAAGATCATGGGTCTGAATCCAGAAGACCCAGGTTCTAATCCCAGCTCCACACTTTCTTTGCTCCCAGGCCTTATGCAAGTGACTTAATCTTTGAGGCTCAGTTTTCTGTTTTATGAAATAGGGGTTAGGGCTGTAGTCCCAGTTCACATGCTGAGGACTTGACGCAGTGCAGCCCCGCTGCTTCCCATGTAGAAACTCACCTAATGCTCACGAGATCCTCCAAAGTTGGTACCATTATCATCGCCATTTTACAGCTGGGGAAACTGAGACAGAGACAGCTCAAATAACTTGCCCAACAGCACATCGCGGGTACATGACAAAGCAATACGGTAACTGGTAATACGGTGTTTAATTCTGGACTGCTCTGCTCCCAGTGCCTGCTGCAGGGCTGGCACAAAGGAGGCCTTCAGTAAATGTTAGGTGCATGCATGTGTGTATCTGCGTGTGTGTCTACCAATGGACACACAGATGGGTAGATGAACGGGGGATGGGCGGAGGCTTGGTGAATGGATAGATATGGGCCGGATGGTGGCTGAAAGGATGTGTGGGTGTATGGATAAGTGCATACATGAGTGGGTAGATGGATGGGTGGGTGCTGGATGGATGGATGGATGAGTGGGCAGATGGGTGGGTAGACGGATGATGGATGGATGGATGAGTATGAGGATGGATAAGCGATGGATGGATGAGTGGGTAGGTGGATGGATGGATGGGTAGACAGATGGATGAGTGGGTGGATAGATGGATGGACAGATGATGGAAGGATGGATGGACGAGTAGATGGATGGGTGGGTGGACAAACTGATGGGTGGATGGATGGATGGTGGGTGATGTATGGATGGATGAATGGATGGATGACGGATGAATGCTGGATGGGGGATGATGGATGGATGGATGTGTGGGTAGATGGCGGGTAGATGGTTAGATGGATGAATGGATGGGTGAATGGTAGGTGGATGGATGCATGGGGGGATAATGGATGGATAGATGATAGAGGGATGGATAGATGAATGAGTGGATGGATGGGGTTGATAGATGGGTGGATGGTGGGTAAATGGTTAGATGAATGGATGGGTGAATGGTAGGGGGATGGATGCATGGGCGGATAATGGATGGATAGATGATAGAGGGATGGATAGATGAATGAGTGGATGGATGGGGTTGATAGATGGGTGGATGGTGGGTAAATGGTTAGATGAATGGATGGGTGAATGGTAGGGGGATGGATGCATGGGCGGATAATGGATGGATAGATGATAGAGGGATGGATAGATGAATGAGTGGATGGATGGGGTTGATAGATGGGTGGATGGTGGGTAAATGGTTAGATGAATGGATGGGTGGATGGTAGGTGGATGGATGCATGGGCGGATAATGGATGGATAGATGATGGAAGGATGGATAGATGAATGGGTGGATGACGGTTGCATGATGGATGTTCAGTGGGGGATGGATGGATGGATGGATGATGAATGGATGGATAATGGATGGATGCGGTGTGATGGATGGATGGATGAGTGGGTGGATGGTGGGTGGATGGATAGATGAATGGATGTGTGAATGGTAGGTGGATGGATGGGTGGGTAGATGGATGGGTAACTGGATGATGGGTGTGTAGATGGGTGGGTGGGTAGATGGATGGTGGGCGGATGACAGATAGAGGGTATAGGTAGCTGGATGATGGAAGATGGACGGGGACGGGACACCACTAAACCAGGTAGTTCAACTTACCCCTGGAGCCCCCATCTCCATAGACTGGGGGAGCTGCTCTGGGTCCCCAATCACATCAAGGTTCCATTTGGTCCTTTCTCAGAGGAAAACAGGCCCAGATACCAGAATCTGGGCCGTCTCAGGGAGGGTCTTCCTGAGAAGCCAACATTTGATCAGAAACGCAAGGCAGGAGGTGACGAAGATCTGGGGGCAGAGCGGGGCAGAGACCACAGCCAGTGCAAAGGTCCTGAGGCAGGATTGAGTACATGAGAGGCACTGGCTTTGCCGCCTCACCTCCTCTTTCTGCACTTCTGGTCCCCAGGATTACAAGAAGTTCTGGGCAGGCCTCCAGGGTCTCACCATTTATTTCTACAACAGCAACCGGGACTTCCAGGTAAGGATGAGAATGGAGGCTCCAAAACTGGCCTTCCCTTGACCCGAGACCAAGCAGACAATGTTGATGGTGAGGCCAAGGCGGCTGCTACATCATCCGGGGGCCTGGTGGCCAAAGAACTGGAGCCAGACCCTTGCTTCTGTGCCCTCAGCACGTGGAGAAGCTAAACCTGGGAGCATTTGAGAAACTCAAAGACGAGATTCCCTGGGGAAGCTCACGTGACCCTGGCACCCACTTCTGCCTGGTTCTCCGGAATCAGGAGATCAAATTCAAGGTAGGTCCCTTGGTGGAGGGGTGGGGAGAGGAGGTGCTGGCAGAAGATACTTAAATGCTCCCCCTCCATTGTGGTCTTGACCCCAAAGGAGCTGGGTGTGATGGGAGGGTTTATTTTATTTCAATTATTATTCTTGTTTTTGGAGAGGGAGTCTCGCTCTGTTGCCGAGGCTGGAGTGCAGTGGTGCAATCTCGGCTAACGGCAACCTCTGCCTCCTGGGTTCAAGCGATTCTCCTGCCTCAGCCTCTCGAGTAGCTGGGATTACAGGCGTGCACCTCCAAGCATGGCTAATTTTTGTATTTTTGGTAGAGACAGGGTTTCACCATGTAGGCCAGGCTGGTCTTGAAGTCCTAACCTCGTGATCCACCCGCCTTGGCCTCCCAGAGTGCCAGGATTACAGGCGTGAGCCATTGTGCTCTGCCGGGAGGGGTTTTTATTTTTATTTTTGAGACAGAGTCTTGCTCTGGCGCCAAGGCTGAAGTGCAGTGGCGCGATCTCGGCTCACTGCAACCTCTGCCTCCCGGGTTCAAGCGATTCTCCTGCCTCAGCCTCCCAAGGAGCTGGGATTGCAGGCACCTGCCACCACACCCAGCTACTTTTTGTATTTTTGGTAGAGATGGGGTTTCTCCATGTTGGCCAGGCTGGTCTTGAACTCCCGATCTAAAGTGATCCGCCCACCTCAACCTCCCAAAGTGCTGGGATTACAGGCGTGAGCCACTGTGCCTAGTCTATGGGAGGGTTTAGAGCAGGAAAAGTCTGGAATCTGATCTTTGTTTTTCTATTATTTTATTTTGAGACAGGGTCTCTTGCTCATCGCCCAGGCTAGAGTGCAGTGGTGAGATCATAGCTCACTGCAGCCTCTACCTCCCAGGCCCAAGCGATCCTCCCACCTCAGCCAAGCACATGCCACTATTCCTGGCTAATATTTTATTTTTTGTAGAGACAGGGTGCTCACTATGTTACCCAGTCTGGTCTTGAACTCCTGAACTCAAGTGATCCTCCCGCCTTGGCCTTCCAGAGTGCTGGATGACAGACGTGAGCCGCTGCCTCCAGCCTGATATATGGTTTTCAAATGTTCATATAACAGCATCGAAAATTATAGTACCAGCCAGGCATGGTGGCTCATGCCTGTAATCTGAGCACTTTCGGAGGCCAAGTCAGAAGGATAGCTTGAGCCCAGGAGTTCAAGACCAGCCTGGGCAACAAAGCAAGACCCTCATGTCTAACAGAAAAAAAATAAATAAAAAGCCAGGCAAGGTGGTGCATGCCTGTGGTTCCAGCTACTCAGGAGGCTGAGGCGGGAGGATCACTTGAGCCCAGGGGGATGGAGGCTGCAGTCAGCCATGATTTCGCCATGGCACCTGTGCCACCAGAACCAGAGACCCCTGTCTCAAGAAAACAAAAAACAAGACACCCAGAAACCAAACCAAACCAAAACCAGAAAGAAAACAGCCCTTTGGGGCAGGCACACTGGCTCACGCCTGTAATCCCAGCACTTTGGGAGACTGAGGTGGGCTGATCACGAGGTCAGGAGTTTGAGACCAGCCTGGTCAACATGGCGAAACCCTGTCTCTACTAAAAATACAAAAAATTGGCCAGACATGATAGTGGGTGCATGTAATCCCAGCTACTTAGGAGGCTGAGGCAGGAGAATTGGTTGAACCTGGGAGGCGGAGGGTGCAGTGAGCTGAGATTTTTCCACTGCACACGAGGAAGAAAAAAAAGAAAAAGCAAGAAAGAGAAAGAAAGGAGGGAGGGAGGAAGGAAGGGAAAAGAGAAGAAAATAGCCCTTTGAAGTGCCCCAGTTCCATTTCATAGATGAGGAGACTGAGGCTCAGTGACATGATTCTTTTCTTTTGTTCCACAGGTAGAAACCTTGGAGTGTCGAGAGATGTGGAAGGGCTTCATCTTGACGGTGGTGGAGGTAAGTACTGGCTCTCTGCGCCCTCTCTCACGTTCTCTTTTTACCATCCTTCATTCTCCAAACAAACCCAGTTTCGCCATTTTGGCCAGACTGGTCTCAAACTCCTGACCTCAACTGATCTGCCTGCCTCGGATCCCCAAGTGCTGGGATTACAGGTGTGAGCCACAGCGACTGGTCGTATTTCTTATTATTATTTTTTTGAGACAGGGTCTTGCTCTGTTGCCCAGGCTGGAGTGAAGTGGTATGATCATAGCACACTGCAGCCTCCAACAACGAGGCTCAAGCAGTCCTCCTGCCTCAGCCTCCCAAGTAGATGGGACTACAGGCACAGGTCACCACATCTGACTAATTTTTAAAACTTTTTGTAGAGCAAGGGCCAGGTGCAGTTGCTCACACCTGTAATCCCAGCACTTTGGGAGGCCGAGGTGGGTGGATCACCTGAGGTCAGAAGTTCAAGACCAGCCTGACCAACATGGAGAAACCCCATCTCTACTAAAAATACAAAATTAGTTGGGCATGGTGGCACCTGCCTGTAATCCCAGCTACTCAGGAGACTGAGGAAGGAGAATCACTTGAATCCAGTAGGCGGAGGTTGCGGTGAGCCAAGATCGCGCCATTGCACTCCGGCCCGGGCAAGGAAAGCAAAACTCTGTTTAAAAAAAAAAAATTTTTTTTTTGTAGAGCAGGGCTCCCTATGTTGCCCAGGCTTGTCTCCCAACTCCTGTGCCCAAGCCATCCACCCACCTCGGCCTCCAAAAGTGCTGGGATTACAGGCGTCTGATTTCCCTGTTTCTTGGCTTGCCCTGGCAGCCATTGAGTTTGACACCTGCCTGGCCCCTGGAGACTTTTGTTTGAAACCCTAGATTCCAGCATCTACTCTCATGCAACCCCTCTGCACCCTCTGGAAGACCTCCTTGCCTCCGAAAGTGTCAGAGTTTATGGCTCTGAGCTCTGGCCTCAGTTTGTCACTGTGTGACTTGGACACAGCCGTCCATTCACGGCCAGCTGGGTGTGGTCACTGTCCCTTGATCGCCTGCCCCTCAGCTCCGTGTCCCGTCCAACCTGACCCTGCTTCCTGGACACCTATACATGATGGCTGAAGTTTTGGCCAAAGAGGAGGCACGCCGTGCACTGGAGACACCCTCGTGAGTGCCCTGCCAGTCCCAAGGGGCTGCAGGATGGGGCAGGAGGTGGGTGTGCGCTGAGGGTGGGCGGTGAACTGGGTCTTGGATTTTGCATGAGAACTGCATTAGGGTAAGGCCCAAGCTGGGAGTTGGGGGAGGGTTTCCAAGGGGAGGTTTAGGGGCCTAGAGGACTGAATGTGTCTTCAGCGACAGGGCTAGGCCTGAGGAGTGGGGGCAGGATGGGGGGGTCAGTCTAGGTGTCTAGAAGGTGAGGCTGAGGCTCTGGGGAGGGGTTATTTGCCAGAGGGCATAGCCAGGACCCCAGAGGCGGGGCTTGGATGGGGGGCGGAGCATCATCATTGTGGGCGGTTCTTGGGGATTAGGGAGGCAGGCAGGGCCCCTAGGGAAGGCTCCAAGTGCCTGCGAGGTAGCGCTTGGTCTCCCTGGCCTGGGTCTGTGCCTTGGGGTTGGGGCTGTATCTACGGGGTCAGAATTAGAAGCCTGGCTGTCCACGGTGGCTAACGCCTGTCATCTCAGCGCCTTGGGAGGTAGAGGAGAGAGGAGTGCTTGGGCCCAATTCAAAAGCAAACAGTGGCAACATAGCGAGCCCCCGCCTCTTTAAAAAAAAAAATACTAGGCCAGTCCCAGTGGCTCACGCCTGTAATTCCAGCAGTTTGGGAGGCCGAGGCGGGGGGATCACCTGAGGTCGGGAGTTCTAGACCAGCCTGACCAATATGGTGAAACCCCATCTCAACTAAAAATAAAAAAATTAGCCGGGTGTGGTGGTGCATGCCTGTAATCCCAGCTAATCGGGGGGGCTGAGGCAGGAGAATCGCTTGAACCCAGGAGACGGAGGTTGCAGTGAGTCAAGAACGTCCTATTGCACTCCAGCCTGGGCAACAAGAGCGAAACTCTATCTCAAAAAAAGAAACAAAACAAAAACACAGAAAGGCCGGACTGGGTCTGGAGCGCAGAGCAGGGTCTCCTGGGCCTAGGAGACGGAGACCGGGATGGGGATGGGGCTGGGTCTCCGAGGAGGCGGGGTTTACGTGCGGAAGAGCGGACCTGGTCTCCGGGGTCACGATGGGTGACGCGGCCCGCCACAGGTGCTTCCTGAAGGTGAGCCGGCTGGAGGCACAACTGCTCCTAGAGCGGTACCCCGAGTGCGGAAACCTGCTGCTGCGGCCCAGCGGGGACGGCGCAGACGGCGCGTCGGTCACCACGCGGCAGATGCACAATGGGTACGCATGCGCGGCTCCGGAGCCCTGGGTGGGAGGAGGGTGGGCCCGGGGGTGTGGTCAGAAGCAGGGGCGGAGCTCGACCCGCGCTAGTGGATAGGCCTAGCGGCGGAGTCTGAACTTAGAGGGGAGACTGGGGGCGGAGTCAGAGCTGAGCTGGGCGGGTTGGGGGCGGAGTCAGCTGTGCAGCTGCGCTGGGCGGGCTGAGGATGGAGTCAGCTGAGCGGAGGAGACTGGGGGCGGAGTCAGAGCTAAGCTGGGCGGGTTGGGGGCGGAGCCAGCTGAGCTGAGCGGGCTGGGGGCGGAGTCAGCTGAGCTGGGAGGCTGGGGGCGGAGTCAGAGCTCAGCTGGGCGGGTTGGGGACGGAGTCAGAGCTGAGCACGGGAGACTAGGGGCAGAGTCAGAGCTAGACAGGGCGGGTTGGGGGCGGGATCAGAGCTCCGGTGTTGTGGGATCCTGAGGTTGGCCCTGTCCCAGGTATGGGGTCAATACCTGGGGGCGAAGGTAGAGCCCAGGCAGGGCTGCAGACCCCTGTGTAGGAGCAGCCAGGAGGTCTTGGGTTAGGAGCTGGGACAACCTGTAAGTAGACTCAGATCCCTGGGTTAGGGTCGGCTTCTCCAGAAGGTAAGGTACGCAGGAGCCGGGTTTGGGCGTCTGGAAGGGATGAAGTCAAATCCAGGGGTGGAATGGACCCTTTGAATAGAGTCAGGATCTATGGGTAGAGTCATGGCCGTGACCCTTTGGAAGTTGAGTAGGGCTGTGAAGGCGGAGCCACGCTGGGGGCGGAGTCAAATTTTCAATCCCAGTCCAGGGTTAGGCAGGGCAATGTAAAAAGGGGAGTCGGGGACTGGGGGTGGAGCTATTACAGGGGCGGGGCCTTACCCGGGCATTACCCGGGGCGGAGTCTTTAAGGCCTGGTTCTCCCTGGGCGCGGTGCCAGAATGAGGGGCTGGCCTTTTCTGTAGTGGTGCCAGTCTGGCCTGGTCTCTCCCTGGAGAAGGTGCCAAGACTGTGGGTGGGGTCTTCTGTGGGAGCAGTACTGGGAACGGGCAGTCAGTGCTCCGGGGGTATAGAGGGGCTTCGGTCCTCCATAGGGTGGAGCCAGTCAGGGGCGGGCCCTCCTCTGGGGGCGGAGCCAGTCTGAACCCATTTCTATTGGGGGCGGAGCCTCGGTTCGGGGCGGGCCTTCCCGGGGTTGGGGAGCGCTATGGGAGCCTGAGCTGACCGCCTCACTCACTCTCTGCTCGTGCAGGACGCACGTGGTCCGGCATTATAAGGTGAAGCGGGAGGGAACCAAGTACGTGATCGACGTGGAAGAGCCGGTGAGCGTTGGGCCGGAGTCCCCAGAAGTGCTTTTGTGGGGTCTGCGCCCCTTCCCCAGCAGCCTGACCGCTCTCCCGTTCGCCCCAGTTCTCTTGTACTTCCCTGGACGCCGTGGTCAACTATTTCGTGTCGCACACCAAAAAGGCGCTGGTGCCCTTCCTGTTTGACGAGGACTACGAGAAGGTGCTAGGTGGGTGCGGCTTCAGGGAGTTCCGGGGCCCAGTCCTCACCTCTCCCGCCCCAGCCCGGACGGACGGGGCCGCCCTGGCCGCCCCGCTTCCTCCAGGCCGCCCTCTCTGTTCCAGGCTACGTGGAGGCCGATAAGGAGAATGGCGAGTGTGTGTGGGTGGCGCCCTCCGCCCCGGGCCCAGGTGACGTCCCCTCCCCGCGGGCCGAGGTGGGAGGGATCGAGGACCCCACATCCAGCCACACCCCCTCAGTTTGATGGCTGCATTGCTTGTATCTGATGTTGCTCACAAAATTGCAGGGACAGAAATGACTCAGATCCTGCCTTCGGGGTGTCGGGGCGGGGTGGGGAGGGTCCCAGCTTGTAGAGTAGGGTGGTGGACCCAGCTAAACGCAGACACTCTCATCCTGTAGGGTCGAATTTGGGGTGGAGGTAAAACCTGGGCTGGAGAGAGGCACCTAGAGTTTGGGAGGAGATGGGGGCAGAGAAGGGAAAGCTTCCTAGGGGAGGTCTTTGCAAATGGTCCCAAAGGATCTTCTTAGGTAGAAATGGGGATTGAAGGGACAGGGGGTGACCCGGACAAACAGTAGCCCCCTAGAGACCGGGAATCGGGATAGGTGTTGGTGAACAAGTGGAAATCGGTCCTGTTTACGGAGTGGGAGGAGGAGGCAGAGAACACGCTAGAAAGGAATGTAGGATGGGTGATCTGGTCTTCCCTGCACTGGGCATATATAGGGACCCCCAAGTACCATATCCACACACACATGCATGATCCACGAACTGTGACCACCTGCCTAGCCAGAAGCTGGCACACACTTGTGGAGGCATGATAGATCCACACATGGATAAATACACGTGTACCCCAATTCCATTCATATACACGCGCCATGTAGCACAGATATACCTGTCTCACGCCACAATCGTCTGTGCACATAAATGCAGACACTTCCATGCACAAGCACAAAATCAGACACGTATAGATACATGGGCATAACACACTCATCCAGACAAGCACCGAAGCAGATACCTTAGTGGGCGTGCAGTCATGCACGTATACACACAGCAGGCATGTGTGCACAAACCTTGCACTTCGATTTGACTTATGCAGATTCATTTAGTGTACATGTGTATCCCACACGAAAACATACTTTTTTTTTTTGAGACAGCGTCTCGCTCTGTTGCCCAGGCTGGAGTGCAATGGCACCATCTTGGCTCACTGCAACCTCCGCTTCCCAGGTGCAGAGATTCCCCTGCCTCAGCCTTCTGAATAGCTGGGATTACAGGCCTGTGCTACCACGCCTGGCTAATTTTTTGTATTTTTAGTAGAGATGGGATTTCACCATGTTGGTCAGGCTGGTCTCGAACTCCTGACCTTGTGATCCACCTGCCTGAGTCTCCAAAAGTGCTAGGATTACAGGCATGAGCCACCGCACCCAGCCCAGATTTTTTTTTTTTTGAGACAGAGTCGCTCTGTCACCTAGCCTGTAGTGCAGTGGCCCAATCTCCGCTCACTGCAACCCCCGCCTCCCAGGTTCAAGTGATTCTCCTGCCTCAGCCCCCTGAGTAGCTGGGAATACAGGCACCCACCACCATGCCAGGCTAATTTTTATATGTTTAGTAGAGATGGTGTTTCACCATATTGGCCAGGCTGGTCTTCAACCCGACCTCAGGTGATCTAGCCACCCCAGCCCCGCAAAATGCTGAGATTACAGGTGTCAGCCACCACGCACAGGGACACGTCTCCAGTCATGCACACAGCCCCCCCCCGTCCCCCCCGCTATGTCCCTGTATGACATGGGTCTTGACAGCTGACTAACTTTCCCCATCAGGTCCTGCACCCTCCACAAGTGGCCCCAAGCCACCACCTCCTGCGTCTGTGCCTGTGTCCAGCCAGGACAAGCTGCCCCCATTACCCCCACTGCCGCCACTACCAGACCAGGAAGAGAACTACGTGACCCCCATTGGGGACGCCCCAACTGTTGACTATGAGAACCAAGACGGTGGGTGGGGAGCAGAGCTGCTGAGAGCCAGGGGGGTTGCGGGAACAGGTTAACAGCTGATGTGACACATTACACCTTTGTTCACGCAGTGGCTCCCTCCAGTCGGCCGGTCATCCTGAAGCCGAAGAAGTTGCCAAAGGCTCCTGCAAAGCCTCCAAAGCCACCCACTGGACCCAAGCCAGGTAGGGGTCCCCCCCAATCCCTCCCTCACCCGATGGCTGGCCAGCCTCAGCGCTTATCTCTGTTGCTGTTGTTGAAGACGGAGTCTCGCTCTGTTGCCCAGGCTGGAGGGCAGTGGTGCGATCTCGGCTCACTGCAATCTCCGCCTCCCGGGTTCAAGCGATTCTCCTGCCTCAGCCTCCTGAGTAGCTGGGATTACAGGCACCCGCCATCACGCCCATCTAATTTTTGTATTTTTAGTAGAGAAGGGGTTTCACCATGTTGCCCAGACTGGTCTCGAACTCCTGACCTCAAGTGATTCACCCACCTCAGCCTCCCAAAGTGCTGGGATTACAGGCGTGAGCCACCACACCTGGCCTCATCTGTCTTCTCTTCCAGAGCCCAAAATCGTTAATGGTGGCTTTCCCAGGAAGCTGCCAGCCAGCTCAGCCCAGCCTCTCTTCCCCACACCGGGTAAGGGGTCTGCAGGGTCAGGGCGGGGCAGGCTTCCCAGGCGCATGACCCATGCAGTCACACAGGGCCCCAAGCTCCAAAACACCCTGCCTTTTAAGGCTCTGCTGTCTCTTTCTTGAAATTCCTAATGCTTTCAAGCACATTGTCACGTTGCACTGTGCCCTGCAAATCCCAGCCGGTCCTGGGTGGCTGTCAGGGGGCAGGGCACGGACTGGGGATTCCTAAGCCAGCTGCAGCCCCTACTCCTGAACCCCCAGGGCTGGCAGACGTGACCGCAGAGCTACAAAAGAAGCTGGAGAAGAGGCGAGCACTGGAGCACTGAGTCGGACACGCCGGGAACCAGTGGGCCAGTCCCGGGGCACAGCTCAGTGACCAGATTCTTTCTCCCAGGATTAAAACACTGACCCCAGGACCCATGTGTCTGGCTTGGCTTGGGGGAGGAGGGGACGAGGGATCTGTCAGATGTCTGCCTACGGATGGCCCCATTCACTCCCAATGACCCTTAGTGCAGTGAAACCTACCACCATATCCTGGGAGAAAAGCCCATTTTACAGCTGGGAAGGCTGAGGTCCCAGTGCCACACACCAGAGAGGACCACCCAGGCCCAAAGAACCAGCACTGTGGCCTGGCCTGGCCAGTGTTTGACCTTTATTAAGAGGGGAGAAGGCGAGGAGGGCCCGCCAGGGTGCCCACTCCCTCTTGATGACCCCCCCATCAGGAGTTAAGGCTCCAAGCAGCAAGTGACAGAGGAGGTGGCCTGGCTCCAGCAGCCGGGCCTGGCAGTGGCCCCCCCAAAAACACCCCGGCTGGGGGTTGCCTGGGGGCCTAGGTGAGGCTGGTGTTGGAACTGCTGGTAGCACTGCCTCGCTTTTGCAGGCAGCGCACGGAGCTGGGGACCTGCAGGCCTGTTGTCACCTGGAAGCTGCCACACCATACCTGAGGGACAGCGGGGGGAGGCGGGAGGGGCTCAGCTTCGAACCCCGGCACCCAGCACCACCCTCTCCTACCCCTGGACCGCGGCGGGCAGCTCACCGTGAAAGCGGGCAGGAGCGGCTGTGTGAACTTGGTCTTGAAGGTGTGAAGCACTTGTTTGGTGCGGGCGTTGTAGAAGGACAGGAGGCCTGGGGTGGGGACGCAGATGGACAGTGGGGCCAGTCAGAAGTGGGATAGGGGCAGAGGGAGGGGACTCAGGCAGGGGCAGCCAGAGACGGCAGCTGGGGCTTGGGGTCACCTTGGTGGAAGTCACAGTGCACACCCAGGCAGTCGGGCACGGGGGTGTCCAGCACCTTGACCTTGTTGGCGTGCTTGGCCGTGAAGCTGACCTGCAGCCAGTTGTTCACGTGCAGGCACCAGGAGGCGGCTGTCTTGCCCAGCTGCTCAAAGCGGCCCAGGCTGCGGTAGGCCACGCCCACGCCAAACGCTTTGCTGTCGGGCTCATAGCGTACCTCCCAGTAATGCTCCCCACCGTCGATCAGCGTGTCCCCTGGGGCGCAGGGCAGGAGAGGTGGGCAGAGGATCTGGGTAGAACTCAGCCACAGATACCCTTCCACAAAGGGCTAGCCACTGAGGGGCTCCCTACACCACAGCTGCTCCCTCCAGATACTCCTCAGGTTGCTAGCTGTACCCCCAGGTACCCCTTGAGCCCTAGCTATTCCCTTCAGATACTCCTGAAGTTCCCAGGTATTCCCCCCAGATACTCCTTGGGCCCCAGCTATTCCTTCCAGATACTCCACTGTCCCTGTGATTCCCTCCAGATATCCTCAGGTGCCAGTTATTACCCCCAGACACTCCTTGGGATCCCAGCTATTTCCCCCAGATATCCCTGAGAGTCCCAGCTATTCCCCTCAGATACTCTTGAGCCCAGCTATTCCCTCCAGATACTCCTCAGGCTCTAGCTATTCCCTTCAGCTACTCCTCAGTTCCTGCTATTCCCTCCAGATACTCCTTGGACTCTAGCTATTCCCCCCCAGATACTCCCTGGGGACCCAGCTATTCCCCCAAGATACTCCTTGAGGACCCAGCTATTCCCCCCAGATACTCCTCGGGGACCCAGCTATTCCCTCCAGATACTCCTTGGGCTCCAGTTATTCCATCCAGATACTCCTCAGGTCCTAGCTATTCCCTCCAGATACTCCTCTGGCACCAGCTATTTCTCCCAGATATTCCTTGGCATCCCAGCTATTCCCTCCACATACTCCTTGAGGACCCAGATGTTCCCGCAGATACTCCTGAGGCTCCAGCTATTCCTCACAGATACTCCTCGCTCCCAGCTATTTCCCCCCAGATACTCTTCAAGGTCCCAGCTATTACCCTCCAGATACTCCTCAGGCTGCAGCTGTTCCCTCCAGATGCTCCTTCAGCCCCAGCTATTCCCTCCAGATATTCCTTGTGTCCCAGGTATTCCCCCCCGATACTCCTTGGGCTCCAGGTATTCCCTAGGCTTTACCAACTTCCTCTAGAGATTTAGTAAGCCCAGAAACTCCCCAAGCCTCAGTTACTCCTTTCAGATTCTCTACAAGCCCAAGCTACTCCTCCCAGACTCTTCCAGGACATACAAACTTCCTTCAGTTCCTCCGCATGTCCAAATACCTCTCAGTTCTTCCCAGAAACTAGATCCTCCTCCAACCCTTGCTCTCGGAAGACTCATCGTGTTCCTGCAGGCCTCAAGCCCTCCTGGAGTGCAGACGCTCCCCCTAGTTCCGGCTCTGGCAGAGTCTAGAAGCTCCCTCTGGCTCCTGGCTGTGGCCGAGTCCAGACACTCCCGGGACTCAAGACTTTCTCCTCTTGTTCTCTGAATCCAGATTCTATCCAGACCTCAACTCCACACAGAAGGCAGAAGTTCCCCCAAGGCATTCCCCAAGCCAGATACTCTCCAGGCGTCAGTGCATCCTGGAGTTCAGGTGCTCCTCAAGCCTCCATTACACTCTCCAGGAACCCTCTGAATTTGGATACCCCGCGGCTTCAGCTCTGCACACAATCCAGATTCTCTCCAGAGCTGAGATCCTGCCCAGGCCCCAGATCCAGGTTCTTGCCATCTCAGCGACTCCTCCCAATGCAGCTATTCCATGAGCTTCAGTTTCTCCTCACACTCTTGCCCCTCCCAGATCACAGCTGATCTCTGTATCGTATCTCAGCTCTTTTCCAGATACAAGATGAACTCCCATATACATGTCTTCTCCAGGTCTGCTCCTCCCTGATCTCAGCTACTCCCCAAACCACAAATTATCTAGGCCCTTTCCCAAGGATGAGCTCTCTCTCTCTCCCACTAATTTCTGCAACTCCAAAGACAACTCTCTATATCTTCTGCTTCCTCCATAAAGCAAACTCTCACCAATCCCAGGTGCTCCCAAGAAAATCTACATCCTGAGAGAACCATAACTTCCCCTCAGGCCCTCGCTTATCCTCAGGACCCCAGCTACTCCCTAACTTCCTTCTCCCTAGGTACTCTGACCACAATGACTTCCTCATACCTCAGCCTCTTTTTCCAGCTCGATTCTGAACAGTAGCAATTCCCGTAAACTCCAGTTCCTCCACGAACTTCAGCTTCTTCATCGGATGCAATCATTCCTGTGCTGCTATCAACTTCTCCTCAGACTACTCTCTCTGGCTCCTCCACATACCCTCAGACAATCCCCCAAAACTCCTGCCTGGCTTCAGCTCCCCCATAAATGGCTGCTCTATAGGCAACCATTCTTTCCAGCTACTCCCCAAATCCCAGCTACTCCCCAAGTCCCAGCTACTCCATAGGCTCCAGAAAATTGCCCTCAAGCTCCTGCCCAGGCACTGTCTGGTCCAGAGTCTCTTTCCTTCACTCCATAAATTCTGGCTCTCCCCAGCAATCCCTCATCCCCAAATATTTCCATTTGGCAGTGCCAGAACAACAGGTTATTCCAGGAACAACTTTGCTGATGGCCGCCTGTTTCCACAGCCAAAGGCAAAGGTTCTCCCTCAATCTACCATTAGGCCCCTGTCCCAAACTCCCCTATCCCCCTCTTCTCCCCCTCCTTACCCAGCACTGTGTAGGATTCAGCGGTGAAGCGGTCCCGTCCCCCACGACCTGAAGGCATCCTCTTGGGAGATGGAGTACCTCTGTGGAGGGCAGGGAGTGAGCAGGCTCAGCTCAACACTCATCTCCCAGGGTAAGGCTTCCCTAGTCCACGCCAGCCACTATGGGTGTTGGGTCAATCTCCGGCAGTATTGGGCTCTTTCTATACACTGAGTGCCTCATGTTCATGCCAGAACATGCCTGTGCCCTCTGTCATCTGGGAAACTCCTATTCAACCATCAAAACCCCCCTCAAAACCTCCTCTCCCCTCATTCCCTCTCTGGGTTCCCCCAGCCCCAGGTCCCTCCTCCATCCCAGCTCTGACCACACTGGGCTCTGTGTCCATGTCCAGCTTGATCTCTTCCACCAGAGACTTAGGGAGGGGAGGGGGCAGGCTACCTGGCCGGGGAGTTGACAGGAGACGCGGTCCGCCCCTTGCCATCTTTCTCGCGAGCCTTGATATCCTGCACCTTCCCGCCCATAGCGTCCCACTCCACGGAGAGATCATCCACCCGCAGGTTCTGGTGGGATGTGGATGCATCCAGGCGGAACATGAACGCTGGGGCCGGGCAGACGTGGGAGTCACAGAGATGGGGAAACCCAGAGAGACACAGAGAGAGACAGAGAGAGACAGACAGTGACCAAGACAGACCAAGACAGGGAAAGAGAACCAAAGGGCCAAGGAGACAGAGTCCAAGACGGAGACAGACAGACCGACAAAGGCTCAGAGAGAGACAGATACAGAGACAGACAAGCCGAAGGGCAGCAGAGACACAAGATGGCAAAAGGTGGAAGGGACAGAACATGGAGCCAGAGGCGCGAAGGCAGAGGGTTGTTGCCCAAAGGTCTCCCAGGTCTGGAGGCATTTTTTTTTTTAAGACGGGGTTTCACCACGTTGGTCAGGCTGGTCTTGAACTCTGGACCTCAGGTGATCCGCCCGCCTTGGCCTCCAAAGTGCTTGGATTACAGGCGTGAGCCACCACACCCAGCCAGGTCTGGAGGCATTTTCAAGCCAACTGCACTATGCTGTGCTTCCATGGAGGACTAATCCCAAGAAAGGGGTGGAGATACAGCATGAGAGAGTTCGGCTAGACTTCAGAGGGACTTCCTACTAGGGCACGCAAAGGTGTCACTGTGGCATGCTGTGGGATTGGTCTTCACTACTAAAATCTCATCCCTAGCTCTACAGAGGACTTAGCTATTTTTTGGTAAAGAGAGAGTATGTGTGGCTATATATAAAAACCATCAAGGTATACAGGGTAAACCTCAGAAGCAAAAGACAAAAACAGGATTATGGCAGACACTCAGGCTAAGGAAGCCACTGTGGATGGAACTTTGAGCTTCCTGGCAGCCAGGGCAACAAGGC